GAAGAAGGAAAGGAGGCGGTAAAGGTGCCGGACCACGTGGCGCAGTTCGTGTATCCCGACGGGTGCGTGGGCAGGCGGGATGTGCATCTTCATACCTTGACTTTTCTCCTCCCTTCCATCTCCTCCCCCTTTCACCCTCCCTCGATTTTCGTGGTCGGCTTGCGCCCAATCCAGCGACGACGTTCTCATGCCCCTCCTCGAATCCCCGCCCCCCTTTCAGCTTCTCTCTCCGCGCAGAGGAAGCCCCCCCCTCCTTCTTCTCCTTCGTCCTCACGGACATGGACGGCACTCGCACCTACGGCTGCGTCCTCCACCTGTGTGAGGAGGTCTCGACCCTCCCCCACCCCGCCAAGACCCAGGCCGCCCTCGGTCGCGCCTTCCAGGTGAGGAGCGTACGGACCTGGGGGGGCTCGTCGGGGTATCCTGTGCCCCACCCTTCGGACCTTTGGACCTCTGTCAGGGTCGGGGCTGGGGTCAGGCGTCGGATAAGGCTTCTGGCTAGGCTATCCCCTGTCTCCCTCTGGCCCTCCCTCGTTTGGACACTGCGTCGCGGTTCAGAAAAGAGCGGGAGGACGCCAGGGTCCCCGCCCCAAGACCTCCCTTCTGCATGCCTCTCAATCCTTGCCACCGCCTGCTATTGCGAGTCCCTTACCGCCTTCTCACACCACCTCTGGGCGATCACAGGAGGCTGGGCTTCCCCTTCCCTCGTGGGTGCAGTCAGGAAACTTCTTCGTCCCTAAGGCCCTGGTCATCCTGTCGCACTACCCCTTCTTCAACACCTTTCGAGAGGTAGGCCCGCAGGCGTCGAGAAGGGATCTTTCCTTCCTCTTCTTGATTCCTGCTTTCATCCCACCCTCCGCCCTTCCCTCCATCCCGTTCTCCCTCAGGTCCTCCTTGAGCTCTACCGCATCTCCATCTCCTCTGCTCCCCTCCCCATCGAGCGCTACATCGCCAATTTTTTCTGCGAAGTGCCCTTGCCCCCCCAGGTGAGAAACATCAACGAGAGCGAGACGAGGGGATGAGAGACGTCTGGAAACGATCGCGCGTGCATCAGGAGCTGGCCCTCAACACTGTGGTATTCTTAGAGGAAGAATGGCGCGTTTTCCTTCTCTACAACGCCTCCATCCTTACCCCTCATGCCTCTGTTCTCCTCGTTCAAGCGTATGCTTCAATTACGTTCATCACCCTTCCCACACGCACATGAATGTATGCGTGCGAAACCCTTGTCATAACACCACCGCGACCACCTTGCTCTTGCTCTTCGCGTCCTCGCAGGGAGGGAAGCTCCTCCTCATTCCCTCCTTCAGCCACCTCCCCTACACTGAGCCAGATCGGAAGAGCGTCGTGTAGGGAAAGAGTGTAGATC